GTCTGGTGATTTGTGCATGAAGAAAATACAGAAAACTAGAATTGTAGAAGTTTCTGTGTAAGTCAGACGTTTCAAGAACTGGTATCTTTCTGGTTCACTTCAGGATAAACAACTTTATACAGTCTTATTGGGGGAAATGGTATACCCTAGTGTCTTGCTTAGCTGTCATCTCACATTCCCTAAGGGCTCATGTATCATCTGTGACTGAGATTTGCACAGCAATGTCAGGGATTTGGATGCTTAGTTCCCATTATTGTTGCTGAGGATCTAATCCCTTTGTTAAAGGATGTTAGTTGTTTCTATGGATTTTGTGTCATTTGGTTCTATGGTTTATTCTCCCTACTTTTCAGTATTTCCAGTGTCTTCAGTCTACTCTTGAAAGGGTCTTTCACCATTGGTGCACTTTGTAGTCCTTCACCAAAAGCCCTTGAGTGGCTGTGAAAAAGCTACTTCTTACAAATGTTTTGACACATGTATGAACCTTAAAATCTGGAGAAGCCTGTACTGGAGAAAAGCAAGCATTAGAGGTAACAGAGAAGGAATATAGGTTATTCAGATAACACTACAGACCTCAGGACAACATTCTGAGGAATCTACGAGGCTGTCTGAATTAGAATAACTCTTGTCTCTATTTTGGCCCCTGGAGCACAATAGAACTTCCTGACTGACAAATTTGCATTTGATCTTCTCTTTCTCTGGCATGCTCCTTCCTCATGTTGTCTACACCAACATCAGAAAATAAACAGTACCAAGACAAATGCTTAAGAAGTCCTCCATCTTCCATGTTTAGATTTTTCCCTATTCAGATTAAGCATAAAAGAATTTAAGCATGGGTGTAAGGAACACATTCTTAATTAGCCTCCAAACCAGGGAACGTAACTTGGCTCCTTTTATTCACTACACACACAAAGCTAGTACAGGTAAAGGTTAAAATCTCATTCTGTGACATTGAACCATCTTTGCAAGGCACAGCTTGAGAAGGTCTGCTGCCCTGTAACGATTTCATAGTTAATAATACATTCACATATGTGTGTCCACAGTCCACATTTGTGTGTGTATGTGTTTGTGTGAGTGTGTATACAAAATATATATGTCAATGTATGGAACAGCTACGGCATCATTTTCAACCTTACTTAAGAAGGCACTCTAGTACAGACAAGTTTCAAGACTTTGAATTTTGTCTCTTCTTGTTCTTAATATGGTTTTAACTGTCAATGTTAGTAAGTCATAAATATGAGAATAATGCAATAAGAACTCTCACAAATACCCACTTCTGTATTTTTTTATTTTTGTTCTATATTTAAAGTGTCTGCAGATCTTCATATATTTCCTTCCTCCTCACTGTCAGACATTGAGGCTCTCAGTTATCCAGGTAAAAAAGACTGGCATTCTCCGCATTGTAATAGTTTTTTATTCTGCTTTGAAAAAAATCTGAGGACCAACTGGAGTTAAGAAAAAAGTCCTAGGTACTTCTACTGAGTCAACTTCCGTGTTTTGCTGTGTATCTGCAGTCACACAGAGACAAGGAAAAAAAGGACTTTTAAAATGTGCTCTCATATTCCTAAACATTCTCTCTTTTACTCTCTCACTGCTTTCTTCACAAACACCTATGCCCATTGGCCTCAGAGAATATTAATAATTTGCAATATTCCATAGTATTAGAATCAGCCTCTTTAAGATCAATGGTAGTAAGTCTTCCTAAAGAACTTCTCCAGCCTTTCTTGAACATATACACACACACATGCACAGACACACACACTCACACATACAGCTGTTTCACAACTAATCTGCACAGTACATGTGCAGACCTGCAATGACCATGACAAATGCTTTCAAGCCCTGTGCTGCCTAAAGGTCATGCTGGAGATTTAGTTTTCAAGCCTTCTAAAATATTTTGTTGGCACTGTCACCTCTGCTTTAGATGCCCAGTTCTCTTGGCTGACACAGGACTGACCACAGGCATTGATGTTCACTCACTCTCCACATAAAAAACATTTTTTTGACCTAGAAATAACTTTTGAAATCTTCAAAGCAACTTGCTGAAAGTTGCTTCTCAATTCTCTCAATAATCAAGAAAGTTGCTTCTCTCAATAATCAAACAAAATCTAGGACTTCCTTAGATTAACTATGGTTACCAATGGGTTCCATGCAACCTGAGATACAGTTGGATTTGTATTTTCCAGGTAGCAATGGACACAAGACAAAATAACACATAAGAATTCCTTCCTATGCAAAGGCTAAACAAATCTGCCAGAATTTAATTGCACTAGGGGACTTTAAAACACAGTTTTCTGTTTTCACCTTGGAATTACCTGGAAATAAAAATAGATTAAGAATACATCAATAAAGCTTGACATATAGAATCACTATTCATATTCAAAGATGAGAAAATCATATTTCTACTGTTTTGTATCTTATACAATCCTGTTGACTTCAGAACGCTTGACACTGGTGTACAGGATTTTACAGTACATCCTGTGGGAGCACCGTGCAATAGAAATACAGTGCAGAAATGGTTGCATGCTGCCTGGTCTGTCTGATATTGCTGATACTTTTGACAGGAATAATTATTAGACCTGGTTAGCAGTACACGAGAGACTCCATTTGATACCTATAGTTGTCTTCAGGACACTGGCCATATGTTATAGACAGCAGTTATGAAACATCCACCATATGCAATCGCTTGCTACTTAGAAATTATTACAATCATTGCTTAAGAATGAGCAAAGAGACAAAGAAAGGGGCCACCATATAAAAAATGGTAAGGATGAGATCACATCCTACATCAAAAGCAAGTGGAGGCAAAGTGTCTGACCCCAAATTATGGGAATAATCTCTCTTCTCTTCACCTCTCCACTATAGTCTAGTTTTACCTGTGACCCCTGAAATCAACAGGAATTTTATAATTTATTTTATAAAGTGAAGGAATCAAATATTAAGCATGTCTCTTTTATGGGCATCAGTAACTACTGTTGAGGGGAGATTCTCAGCATCCATCATAATTTTATATAGCAGTTCCATGAAGGACTAGAATGTCCTATCTTAGTGAACACTAACTTACTCCACAAGTAGGACCATAGACCTATTACAGTTTTGCAAACAGGAATACTGTTGCCTCAGGGAAATGTACCATATAGCTCAGGCAAAGGGTGGCAAAACCTGCTCTGCAATCTCTGGATATGATTATGCTTGCCAGTTTATTCCTACACAACCTTCTTCAAAAAGGTCAGGAGATCCTGTCCTGGTTCTGGAAAGTATCCAGGAGCACAGAATGAGAACTCTGTTCTTGCTATACACTAAAAATAAAGAAAATTCCTCCACTGTGAGCTACACCCACAGTAACATCTGTGAAAAGTAAAAAGAAGTAACTGAAGTGTTTTCTTCAGATCACAGTGGTGCCTGTCAGTTTTGCTCTTGAATTCTGGTACCTGAATGAAGTCTCTCAATGATCTTTGCTAAGATGTATTTGCTTTTTTTATTTGTCTGTGACATTTACAAACAATTTAGAGGTGCATGAGACTGCTTTGACTCTAGCTTTATCAGATTATGGAGGCTCAGGGTTTTGTTGCATCTTTCCATTCCCTGTCAACAGCAGCCCATACCTACAGGTGACTACCTATTTTCCAAGTGTAATCACAAGAGGAAAAGAGCAGATATGACTGGATGGAGGGCAGCAGAAAAGTAAGTCAGGGCATCCATGAAAATGGGGAAACTCTTGAAAACTCTTTAAAACTCATGCAGCTCCATCAATCTCCTTCAGCCTTTTCTGGATACTTTTCAGTGAGTGATGAAAAAAAGTGTGGTGTGTTGTGAACAGAATCCTAAGGCAAATTAAAAGTTTAATTAGAAGATAAATTTCTCAGGAAAACATGGAAACTTGGAAAAGTGTCACCATATCCTAGATCACTATAGATAACAGGAAAGCAGAATCTAAAGCACAAAATCATAAAGAGAGAAGAGAAACAAATAGTTACAAGCTATTAGGGAGAAAGGCTGTTAGTTCTTTGACATCATCAGAAGCTCTTCATGCTAACAAAAGGAAAAGGATTTTTCAGCTATTTTGAAGTATCCAGATCTTTTGAAATCAATAAGTTAGACATCTAAGTACTTATATTGTCCCACAGTTTTAATCAGCCTTGTATGGAAGAGCAAGAGAGAATAAAGATTTCTAATTCACCTCATGAGGCAGCCATGATATTGATGGGGAGCTGTTACATGCCAGCCATGGGTGGGGAGACAGAAATCCACTACTCAAGATCCAGATGCTCATCAGACAAAACAGCCTTGTTCATTGTTTAGAGCTCAGTTAACTACTCAATTCAAACCTCCCAGGCTTAGATAGCTCATTGGCTGGGATCTCTCTGCCCAGATCATTGGGCAGTGATGTGCTCTCTACTAAGTTTGAATGGGGATGGCTGAGGGTCCCATGTAACTTGTCCAGGGACTTGTTCTGGCATGAACTAGGCTAGCCAAATTGAATTTGTGTTACGGTCAGATTTACGTTGTCCAGTCCAGGCCAGCTGTACTATGGCAATACTGTGACAGGGAGCTATAATGATTTCACAGTCACAGAGTTCCAGGCTACATCAGTGTGGTGGCATGGCATGACTTTGCTTCTCACTGCCTTTTAAGTGAACCCACTCATTTTTAACAACCATTTTTTCATAGCAAATACCTGTTTCATAAGTCTGCCAAACCCAATTGAGAAACTCAACACAGTTTTCTTTTGGGAATTGATAACTTTGACATTCATGGGCCTCTTTGAAAAAAACAATGACATTTGTTTTTAAAAAAAGTCATCTTTCCAACACATAACATACAATATGCCAGAAAAATTCTAAAACCTCAAAAGGACTTCAGATTAGCATGACAATAATGTGGTGGGATCCAACCCCAGCTGTTCTGTATTTTTTAAGCCAATAGAATGTTATGTGTAACATTTAATTGTTCCTTAACTAAATAATTTTTTTTCTGAACAACCTGAGAAATATACCTCATACCTACCCATCCATTCCTGCAATTACTGATGGGGCTGTTGATGGAAGATTAGAATTTGCTGGGTGAGTTGCTGATCAATGAACCTTGCCAATGTATCCAGGAATATCTGGAGTGCTAAAGGAAACAGTTAAAATGGGGATGGCGGTGGAGAAAGGGTAAATTAAATGACTATAGGCTTGAAATATGATTTATAGATAAGTTCTAGAATGGATAGGCTTTATCAAAGATAGATGGGGTAAAATCTCTTAACAATAAAATGAGAAGTGCTTAGAATGTATAAACTGTCATAGCTTCTTTAAGGTTAGATGATGATCTAAGGGATGATCTGGGCCAAAATCTGTGGTTAGACATCCTAAAGGTGAGCTCTTCGGAGAATTTTTTTTTTCTTCAATCTGTTTGGGTTTACTATCTGTATGATATTCATGATTAGAAGCAACATTTAATCACAAAGAATAAATGAAGTCACAGAGTTTACATAGAGCAGAAAAAGCAAGGAAATATTCTTTTAAAACGTGATACAGATTTAGATCATATTTAGTTTCCAGCTTCAAATATGGAATTTACATAGCAGATTTTAAGCCAACAGGTGTGATTTCTCATGGGCTAAAACATAAATGATTTTCCAAATTATTCTAAGGTTCTCTAAATATCCCTCAGAATTTATTAAAATGTAGTATTAACAACATTTCTTAGACACCAACTTAAATTCTAGTGTGAGTGCACCACTGAACTGAGATAGTATGCATCACATTTTGTTTGTTGAAAATGAAAGCTTTTTGGTAATTCTGATGCTGTTTTAATGTGAAAATGAAAATCAGAGTTCCTTAAAGACATGGAGTAAAAAAACTCTACTTATCTGAAGCAGTATAAAGAAAATTTTGATAACAGTTGTTGCAAGATGAAGCAGAGATGGACAAAAATGAAAGAAAAAGTAGGTAATAATATGAATTCAGATAAATTATCCATGAGTATTAGAAATAAAACAATATAAACCCCCAATATAATACCTTTTTTTGGCAACTCAGTTTTTCAGAGAATATCAATCAATATTGTTCTGTATTGACATCTCAAAGTAGGACATTGTTGAATTATACAATTATACATAGGACACACATGAATTATGCATATGTATCCAGGCCGCCCATACACATGGAGGTGAAGGCTCACAATACGCTGCTTCATCTGCTGAATCAACTAAATATTTGGGATTATACACCTTGCCTCTATTAGTAATTTGTGGGTCTTCACACCATTTAACTGGGAGCAGTGTCTCCTTTCAAACAATTTCTGAGGTGTTCTTTGTTTCCTCTGTACTCTGTGAAAAAATAGACAGTTTCTTTAATAATAAAATGCATAGAGTTACTAACTAGTATCATGCAGCTGATGAGCTCCTTCTCCACAACTAAGTTCAGCACAGGATGCAAAATTGCACACATGTGAGAGATACAGTTTATCAGACTTTGTGTATCTCTGACTTTTGTAGTGGGAAATTTGGCTCTGAAATTCCTCACCAGAATAGCAGAGGCAATGACAAAATGCTGTATCTACCATCAGAGTTATAACACAGGATTCTGAGTCAACTGTATTTGGCATGGGAGCATTGGTGGTGTGTTGTAGTTCTTGCAGACATAGTTAGCTGAAGGACCACCTAATTCTTAGTTTGGAGTAACCTTGCACTAACCCATACCTTCATACACTGCTACACTCCCTGGGCCATGTTCCTCTACAGTTCTCCAGAGAAAATGGCTTCGTAGAATCAGTACAGAGGTTTTGTAGCACTTGGGAAGCTGTTGCCTCTAGGGAATCACTAAGTAGTTGGCTGGGCAAGGAACAAATTTGCTCTCTGTCTTGACAGCAGCTGTTCAGGGTCAACAAGTGGCTTGAAAATCTTTTAGAATTAGCCAAAATGGGTTGCATTCGAATTTCCTTTTTCATGTCAAAGTAGACAACTGTTAAGTTACGAACACATTAGGTGTCTCTGTAGAAAATTCTCTCTGTATGTAAGGATCCCAGCAAGGGACACAATGGTTATTGGGTGGTTGTGACTGTAAGCACATGAATTCATCCAAAACTGAAAATTCAACAACAGCAACAACAGAATTACTAGGTTGGAAGAGACCTCCAAGATTGTCAAGGCCAACCCATGCCCTAATACCACAACTAGACCCTGGTACCGAGTGCTACATCCAGTCTTTTTTTAAACACACACAGAGATGGTGACTCCACCACCTCCCCAGGCAGACCATTCCAGTATTTTATTATTCTCTCTATAAAAAACTTTTTCCTTATATCCAACCTATATTTCCCTTGGCACAGCTTGAAACGGTGTCTTCTCATTCTGTCAGTTGCTGCCTGGAGAAAGAGACCAACCCTCACTTGAACACAACCACCTTTCAAGAAGTTGTAAAGTATACGTGATGCCATTCTGAGGGAATCAAACTGTGAACCCAGTTTTATTACCCTGGTGATAGGCTACATACCAATATACATCTGTCACATGTCATGAAATTCCAGTGATTTCCATGGAGGTATAAGGGCGTCATAAAGAGAAGTAGATGACAACAAGAAATCCTATATTAGCTCACAGCACTTTACAAGCCTATTTGAAGTTAAATCACATAACTACTATATAACTGTGAGGTATCTGATTGATAAAATCTTCTCACCTTTGAAACTTGCAAAAGTAGAAAAGAATATAAAAGCATCATAAATGGGCAAACACGACCCAAAAGTTGATCTGAGAAATGACTCAAGATAAAGACTTGTTCTAGACTGTCTGTTAGAAACCATTGACAGAAATTGGTACATTCATAATAAGTGGGATGAATGTAGATCTGTAAAAGAGAGCTGAACAGAAAGAAGCTAAAGGTACCAGGAAAGTAAGCAAGGTTACACTGCAGTAAAGAAGCTGCTCTCCTGGGAACCTGCAAAGAAGATGCAAAACTGTGCTGTGGTTATGTAGGTAGATGAAGCAGATAGAGCAGAAGAAACTGAGGTTTAAAAAGTACCCCTTTGTGTTTTTGTGTTTTTGATTTTTTGGATCAAGATGTCTAGCTCTTGTGTGCTTTCTCTGATGAGCTGCTAACCCATGTTGTTGCTGCTGAAGAAAACAACTAAGTGCCAGCCTACCACTGGGCAACACACAAAACTCCTCTGTGGTTATACTGCCGTCATCAAGCTTTCTTTCTGTAACCATGACATCTTTCTTGTTTGTATGTCCTAGCAGCTCTTAGTCCCAACAGTAACAAATATTTAGTGTTGACAGCTGAATCTGTGCAGGCAGTAAGATTTTTCAAGTGAATTGTAGTGATTCAGAGTGCCTCTGCATTGGTGTGCCTTTGCTTTTTATGTCCAGAGAATCATAGAAACACTAAGGTTGGAAAGGACCTCTAAGATTATCAAGTTCACTGTTAACCCAGGACTGCCAAGTCCACCATTAAACCATGTCCCCAGGTGCCACATCTACACATCTTTCAAATATCTTCATGGATGGTGACTCCACCACTTCCCTGGGCAGCCATTTTTTCTTGTCCTATTGCTTGCTACCTGGGAGAAGACACTGACCCCACCTGGCTTTTGGGTAGCTTTAGAGAGGGATAAGGTTCCCCCTAAGCCTCCTTTTCTCCAGGTTAAACAACCTCAGCTCCCTCAGCTGCTCCTCATAAGACTTGTGCTCCAGACCCTTCACCAACTCTGCTGCCCTTCTCTGGACATGCTCCAACACCTCAATGTTCTCTTGTAGTGAGGGGTCCAGAACTGGACAGGGGCTTTCAGGTGGAACTTCACCATCTTGAGATATCTTTGTACATTTTTATTTCCTGGCAATGATCAGTAAAGTCAGTGTAGACTTAATTTAGTAGGCCTTCCATACTGATATTTAGACCTATTTGAGATGCCTTAAGGCATCTCAGATAATTCCCTATAATGCAGGACTCACGGGGGATACATAATGTTGAGAAGCAGCAGCTGGAACTGATGGTCTAGAGTCCCTCCAGGGTATTGGGTGCCCAGGCTTGCCACATAACTTCTTCATCACCTATTTATATGGGAGTGAAATCTATATTTCCCTCAAATAATCTGTAGTTCTTGAAAGCCTTGGATCTAACACTTCAGCTTCAGCAATGGAGGTATCTAAGTTCTTCGTGCAAAAATTCCATCTAGTGGGATACCTGATGGATTGTTACCTTAACACTTACAAGCAAAGAGTTCCTAACATCTTACTCTTTCTTATAAACACTCCTGTATAAATGCAATAGAACTAAATCACCATATGAAGTTATTATAACTCTTTTGGTTATTACTACTATAAAATAGGCCTCTCAGATCTCACTCACACTATATAAGGCTTGCAACTGGTTTCCACCTCAAGTTCTTGTCCAGGAAGGCTGACTTGTAACACATTTGTTCCCTTCTACATCCTTTTTGCCTCTGTGATCCTATTTGCCAAACAGAACAACCTGTGGTAAAATTGTCTCAGGCACAATCCTGTGTTCCTGAGTCAGGAAATTAATATACTCCCTCATATTGTGAAAGAATATACCTAAGATTACTTGTGAAGGCAAAATAAAGTGCTTAAAAGCAGAGCAGAAAAATAGGACCAACACTCTGGCTTTCATTTCACACCCATCTCCCCCAGCCATCAAAGAAGGATAGGGGATGAATACTTAAAAATGGGTTTGGGGTTCCTGAAAAGATGAAACCATCAAAATGGCAGCTCCCCCAAACATTTTGAATCATGTTGAACTGAAAAATTTTGTTTCTACAATTTCAAACAATTTTATTCTGCTTTGAAATTTTTCAGTCCCCCTTGATAGTATGGGGTAATATTTTTCAGACACAATAAAGCATTTCAAGCAATAAAATCTCATTTGGAAAATGCCAAAATAGGATATTTTAACACACACTTCCCTCCACAACCCCTGAATGAGTCAAACTGGAGAACCACTGAACAGGCATATATGGTAGACAAGCTGTCAGTTTCTGAAGAAAGAATACTTTGTGAGAAAGCTCTACAGCAGTCCTTGGAAATGACTATGCAAGGTGCAAGACAGCAGAGGGTCCTGTTCCCAGCTAATTGTGGTCTGTGAAGTTTCTAATAACTTGAATTTCCAAGGGATGCATGCACATAGTTGGAAAAAGACTACACTGAAGAAATATGTGAAGTCACTACAGATATACTGATGTGATAGTAGCATTTTCTCAATGTGCTTGAGAAGCCATGAATAAAGGGTAGTTTCAGAAAATATCTTTGTGCAAGAACTGCAGAACTTGAAACATCTAGGACTTTGTCTTCTTAGCAACTGCATGTTTCCCATTTCAGTTAAGTTCTTTTGACCTGTTGTCTTCTTCACACACACAACACCTCTGGCATTGGACAGATCACTTCAGCCTTCTTGGTCTGTACCTGTCAAAAACCAGTACTGTAACTTGTTATACCAGTGTTCTGGCAGTGCATTAGTTGATGCTTCAAAAGTGCTATTATGTAACTAATACTTGGTGAAAATGCACATGCATTGTGTAAGCACTGCCCTCTACTGTGGTTTAGGAGTGCTGAGGGATGAGTATAAAGTTTTGAAAATCTGATGACTGCCACATTTTTTACTGACTTTTTACGTTTTTTACATTGAGGAGGCAGAGGCTTTTACCGTGGAACAAGAAAACAATCACTGTCCTAACTGTTTCAGTCAAATGTCAAGAGGCAGATTCCAATAGGCACTGCAGTGAATTAGGAAGCTGTTGTGTTATAACATAAAAGACACACTAAAAAGAAAAGCACAAGTCAGATGTAGGAAATAAACCTGGATTGATATGAGCTGTTGCTGCATTCACTGGAATGCACTAAATGTGCTACACTATTGCTGCATTAAGTTCTGCCAACTCACTAAAGGTGTAAGGGAGCTCTAACAATACCAGGGAGTTATTTGTGGCTGTCAGACCAGAGCCCAGCCCCTGAATACTACAGAGGAAGTCCCCATCACCAGTGTGGGAGGCTTTTTTCCATTGACCCTTAAAACACCTGCAGAATCTAAAATACCAGATAGAGCATAACCTTGTTTCAGTAGCTTGTTGGGGAAGAAGTCAACAGAGGATAAAAGCTGGTGGCTAGGGATGAAGTAGAATTTTACAAAATAAAATATACATATAAAGGCTTTTAAGAAAAAGGGAACAGTGTATGACGTTTTGGAAACCCATGTGATCCAATAAAAACAGTTTCTCTACAGTTTTCAAAACTGTTGAGTTCGAAATGCATTTCTAAATAAGAAAGACAATATTTCAAAGTAGTTGTTAATAACAAGAAACAATGATTTGGGTCATTACTTATTTTCACTTTTTAATAACCTGGCACCTCTCAAAAGTGCTCAGAGAATTTATCAGTCTGAGCCCTCCTGGAAGTCACTGTACCTCTGCTGCAAAATTTCCTCTGAACACACAATGTTTTTCCAGTATTTGGACTGTCCTCTTCCTTGGTACGTGGGTTGGAGCAGCAGTTAGACACAGGAGATCAGATTGTGGCATTTGGTGTTTGTGGCCAGATCTTCACAGGAGCTTAGAGATCAACATGCACCCAGAATGTGAACTCTTTCAGAATTCTGGTTTTCGTGTGTGGTTGCTGAGCTATTTTTGAAAGCCTGGCTAGCTGCACAAAACTTACTCATTTAGCACTCAGTTGCTTATCTACCTAATATATGGGTAGTTATATGACATATAAAGCCAAACGCTGTATTCATCTTCCACAAATAAATTAATATTATAACGAAACCATTAACAATCAAACCACTATGAAACAAACCAAAAATAACAAAAGAAACAGACACAGTTCAGAATTTAAAGTCTTGTAAAAGAAGTCCCAGAAGTCTGTTCTGCAAAATATGTGAACAGATTCTCAGTCCTATCCCTGCTCAGGAAATCTTGTTAAGCAGATAACTTTAACTCACTGATTCCAATGGAATTTAAACTTAATGGGTTTGAAAAAGCAAGAATGCAAATATAAGAGAGTTTACAGTTAGCAGACAAGTAGAGAAGGTAGGGGGAAAAATGAAGAAAAAGAAAGTATGCAGAAAAAAGTTGTTACATTTCAAAATACCACAAAAGCCACTTGAGTCACTGAGCAACTGTTATCCAGTATGCTTTAAAAAAAAAATCACACAAGCAACATACACTGAAAATACAAAAAGACATCAATGCATTCAACTTGGAACCTTGTTCAGTAGTAGAATAAAAAGAGAAGTTTCAAGCTTACACCACGTGTATTCTGCCAATGTGGTCCACACTGAAGCACTAGGCTGTAAAATGAGATTGTAAGTTTTATGAAAAGTTTTATGAGGTCTCTTGGTGAAAGAGGACTGCATCAGAGAGAGAGATTTTCAGAATACTGTTCCACAACAGCTTCCTAATTTTTTGACTGTCACTTTTTAGAATAATTATTTCTATGTTACCCTTGGCAAATAAATGGTAGAAGATTCCAGCTTTTAGGCATACATTTTAACATATCTGGGGATGAAAAAGAGGAACAAGTTCATTCTAAAGCAAATTCAGGAGTCCATATACAAACCATGGATATTAAGAATGATGCTATATTCCAGGGCTGGAACAGACCTCAGGAGAGTATGCCATTCAGGACTTTCCCCAAAGGCAGATTTAATGAAAGCCTGAAAGAGAATGAGAACTGAATTGTGATCCAGGACTTTTGGTCAAGTGCAAAGATATCTGACCCAAACTGCACATTCATAGCTCTCTCTGGGCAATTTTCACTGATCATTCTAGACTGCCACAAGATTACACACACAGTTATTAATAAGTTCATATTCATAAAGTTAGCACTTCTAGATGAATCACAACATTTATGACATGGCCTTTTATATGTGCTGAAAGCTCACACAGTTATTCCATATCTGAACCACTGAGGAAATATGGATAACACATGATTATGATTGCTAAATTTCCATTTTTATTTCAGTCTAATTTTTAAGAACTATGACCATCACTTTGTCTTAATTAATATTATATGAAACCAAGTTTGAGCAAAAACTCTAAAAAACGAGTCTAAAAACTCTAAAAACGAGAGTTCAGTTAAAAAAATAGCACATGCTTGGGTTCAGGATATGTGAAGTTTCATTCCTAACTGTGCTACACATTCCCAATGGGAATTTGATGAATGATCTTACCACATTGCACCTGGATTTACATCTATAAAACTTCCAAGTTGCATGGTAAGGACTTCAAAATATCTAGAGTGCTGGATATATGCACAGCAGGTCTTCACAATGCTGATCTTGTATTAGGGGCTTTTAGGCTCAACTACAGCATAAGTCAAGACTTTTATCTTTTTTCTAATTCCTTAAGAAAAAAGAAGAAAAGCAGAAGATGGTTTCCTGTTCTGCCAAAAGAAAGAGAGGGTGGGTACAAGGCTAACATAAAAAACATGCCCAGGTTCACCACTCTTCCTGTTTGTCTCTGCAGCTACAAGACAGATGAGTCTTAGTTACTTTCAGGTTTGTTAATCATTTGAATGGCAACCACTTTATTGCATGGTTTGGGGAAGAACACTGTCTCACTCTGGAGTAATGCCCGGACACTGATGCTGTTGCCAAGTGCTGCAAGCAGGAAGTGCTGCTGCTACTCCATGAGAGTGAAAGTGACTATTTACTAAGAGAGCTTTACCTTTATACTTACAAATCATATTTAGGCTTCTCAATCTAAAGTATATCTCTAACTTTTCAAGGATTTCGGTCAAGTTTAATGGCCTATACACACCTTTCCAAAACTATTGGCAAACACACAAAGTGAGAAAAACAAATTATAGGCAAAGTTTTATGCCTTCTGACTTTCTCCTTTCTTCTGCTCAAAATTATAGCAATTTTGATGTCTGACAGTCCCAGACAGATAGTAAGTGTGAAAAACTTAGTAAAATCTTCCAGATGGAATTGAGTTTTTCACAAATTAGGGTTTTTTGATCTTTGAGATGTCAGAATCTTTTAAATCTCAGAGACTTTGGTTTCTTTGTTGCCAGAAATCAATGAAATCCATAGTTTCACTCATTAAAACCAGAAAAATTAGATGCAGCATTCCAGAGAAGGCAATAAAGAACCAATTGCTCAAATTTACAAATCCTCCATGATACCACATGATGCAAATAGTCCCAGATAGGATGTCTGCCTGCAGCTGAGTGCACACATCTGCTTCTCTTCTTCAAAGCTCCACCATAACAGCAGTACAATCTCGCAGAACTAAGGGTTAACAATCCTGTAACTTCACTGCAACTCAGACATCTCTGTTCAGCAGTATGTTGTATTCTGTATGTGCTGTATTTTGAAAGCACATTAATTTCTCAATAAATATTTTTTACAATTTTTTTTATAATTCAAGCAGAAAAGTTAGATGCAGGCTCTGAGAAGCTAGATGACTTGTGCAGAAGGCGAAATAAAATAATCACAATGGCGCATCATGTCATAAAATCTTGGAATTAGGCTTGTTTTCAGTAATATGGGTCAAATGTGATGACCTTACAATGATTAGCACCTCACTTTACCTGTGAACCTGCTTCTGTGTGAAGAATGATGTGCTGTTCCCCACAAGGTAACAGCATGTGATACACTGCAAAAGGATATACATTTATCCTGAAACAGGTGTAAGAAACATAAATGAACAGATCTAAGTTGTAGCTCAGAAATTCTAGCTACTCACAAGACAGCTACCAGCAACTACAAGACAACTACCAGGAGTGTTTAGCACATACTCTGACATGAGTAACATCCAGCATCAAGTCTTTTCTTCAGAATATGGAGGGCAATATTTCTACAGCTTCTGACCCTCTGCTTCACTAGTGAAAAATCCTTTCTGTACTTTCCAAATATGAACTGAGGAAGACCATTTCAAGGAATCATGGGGAAGACTGATGCAAAGAGAAATTCTGTTTAAGTAAAAAGGACAGTTTAGTTCCTCTTTTATTATCTTAATTTGTATCATTAAACTGTTACTTTTACCATTTTCCTTTCTCAAAAGTTTGCAAATAAGCTCTTAATATCAGCTCAAGCTACTAGAGACAGGTTTAGGAATGGCTTAAAGTGAAAACCTTCATAGTTAATGATGTAGCTAAAAGTATAGTTTTCCAATAGCATTCAGGGAGCTTTTGCACACTCAAAGGCCATCTAGTGACTAAAGTTAACATACTTTAGGCTTGACAATATTTAAATCATGCTACTCATCAAACATGGAACAGACCATTAATACTAAAGAACAGGAAAAAATTGAAGTATGAAAATATGGTGTAGTTTCAAAATAAACCTTTCCATTCTTTTCACCCAAGATCAGTTTTTTAACAGTTTTTTCCCTTTTCCCAAATAACAAGAACTCAAAAGGCAGTATCTAAATCATAAGAAGTGAAACATAGTGCACAGTGCTTGTGTAGTGAGGCTTTGAAGTTTGCATGTGGTTAAGTGGGACTAAGTCTACACCAGTGCTGTCTTCAAAATTTACTGCACCAACACAGCAGATAGAAAGTAAATAGAAGATATGTACATTATTCATAAGACAGCTGGCGGAGGCAGCTGAACAATACACTGCATGCTCCAAAATTCTAGTTATTTATTAAAATGGTCCACAAGAAAAAAACACAGAGATGAATGTCCCTGTTTGCTTGGCGTATCCCAAGATGAAAACAATCATTTGTTGAACTTGCAGCACATAACAAATGACAGCTCTAATACATATGTGCAGAGAGGCTTGGGAAAAAAATGGACATAAGATAGAAATGTGTCATCTCACATCCTTTTGGCTGTTCTTATGATCTGACTGGGATACTCTGACAAAGTGGACATAACAGATTCTGATTTCTAGTTTACAGTTAAAAAGTTGGAGACACCCACAAGCAAAGGTGACTCAGTATACACTCTCCTTTGGCACCAGAAAATGCCTTAAGATTAAATAAAATAGGCCAGCTACAATTCTTGTTTCAGAAAATGAGAGAGGGACTGTTTGGGCTTAATCAAAAATGACAAATTTAAGACAACTCAGGGACACTGTACTTAACATATACAAAGGGATATTTGAGATTTGAGAGCTTTGGCTTACACTTTTAAAGACAAAATGGATCAATCATTTTCTTTTTTCACCAGACAGAGCATTGTGATAGAATATTTATGAGGTCCCAAAAGACAGGTGGTAACAAGTCAAAGTTTTGCTCTTGGAATAATGCAGTGCTCATTTGAATTTGGTAAAAGACCGTTGCAAATGATTAGTTTGGCATATATGCTAAATGAACCAGCTGAGTATGCAGAATCTAATCTGTTAACCTCTTCTTATGCTAGGACTTAAGTGAATTTCATAGGACAGTATAAGCAAGTTTTCTTTTCTTTCTCTTATAGCAACACTTTGAATTTCATTGAATTCTTGAGAACACAGGAAAATTTAACATCAGGTCAGAATTTCTCCCTTGGTCTGTCCCTGCAATCAACTCTCACCATCCACAACTATATTCCTTTGAAAGAGCATCATTCAAGAAACCATGATAGCATTGTCTATCTATCTATCTATCTATCTATCTATCTATCTTGCTTTTCTTCCACCCTTCTGAGGTATCTCTCTCTCCAACTGTATGCCTGACTGCCCAATAACTCACCTGTCCATTGAGTTTGCCTGAGCAAACTTTCTGGCTCATAGTCTGGAAAGGAGACATGTTCTTATTTTCTATCATACTTTGACCAACTTTTCTTTCTTTGTCTCAACTTAACTCTTCTTTGATTCCTACTAAGACTCCCATGACCTTTTACTGGACTCATCTAAAATGCTACACTTTGAGATAGGTTTGAATAGGTGAAATACAGAGTAATGCAGAGGTGATTGTTTTGGACGGACAACAAAAAACCCCTTGAGTTTGTGCATGGGTATGATTACCATGGTGTTTTCTAAATGTCATGTCTTAATGCAAACATCAGATGTATGAAATCATTACAATCATTCCCTTTACAGGTTTCTTCTGTTCTGCTTTTTATATTTAACTCTCTCACGCATGCAGGACATATTTTTGATATAGTTATTAACTGACTATCTTAACTTATCTAGTTACAGAAGGCTGCTTTCTGTAATTAACTTGTTAATTATCTCAGAAGATTTAGTCTTCTGAGATAATTAACTGTCCACAGACTTCGGAAAAGGATTGTTAAGACAACTCCAATATTCACAAAACCTGAAATTTACAAAGCACCAGATCTCTGTGGAGAGATAAAAGATCTTGTTTGAAATCTGTCCCAGAGGCCTCCAGCAACCTAAAATCATAATTACATGCCTTTTGTATGCAACATTTGCTAATTAATATGACTTAATATTTTTTCAGGCAGCAATTGCAAAACTGAATTTTAGTTTATTAAAAATAATAATTGTTACAGTTAATTATCACAAGTAAACTAATTTAATGTGAGATTTGTTAAGGTAGTGCATCATTCTTACCAATTTTTCATCAATATCCTTGTACTTTGTTTTCACATTCTGCATGCATGTCTTCCGTATCAATTTACAGGGAGCGCCAGGAAAGAAATATGAAACATGAAATAATATGAGGCAGTTATGGGCATGTGGTGGTGACCTTTATTTTGCATTTGAGACTGTATTTACTTGAAAACCTTTTTGTGGGTCTATGACCTACACAAAAATTAGGCTCCCTTTCATTAGCAAACCTAAAATCAGCAAGAAATTGTTCACTGACTTGGCTTATTTTAAGTTTGGGATTGTATCTTCTTTTTGTGAAACACTGGGAAACAGGATCAGCTAATCTCCCTCCCTCTGTTGATTTTGGAGGCTATATTTTGGAAGGAAACATATTATTCCAAGGAACTCCTTTTTAAGCTTGTCTTGGGTTGCAATGAAAGATGTAACAAAAAGTATTTATTCTATTACCAGCTGCTAAAGCCAGGTGTGGCACTGTTCTTTATCTCTTCCACAACCCATCCTCCCTCCAGGGGCATATCTTCTGTTAATGGGCCATTGAGTCTCCCTGCATGACTGATAAAATGACATCATCCCATTGTGAGATGCTCCACCCAGGGGGAGGAGCCAAACATTCCTACTTGAATATAATCGGAGCCTTGGAACACCACAGGCCGCATTTCTCCCCTGGATTCCCAGAGGAAAGACCAGACCCATCCACAACACAACTGGACCTCCAGAGGAAAACTACACCATTCTATGGGATCATTGCTTCAACAGAACCACATCTGTCCCTCCAGGAGGACTGAAGCCACTATTTAATCAGACTGCTACCAACACCCTGACCAACAGGGTGCCAGGTTGTATTCTGACTCTGTCAGTGGGTTTATTTTTGGGGCGCGGGGGGTTGGTTTTTGTAATACTGCATTTTTATTTTTATTTTCCTAGTAAAGAACTGTTATTCTTATACCCATATCTTTGCCTGAGAGCCCCTGGATTTCAAAATTATAACAATTTGGGGTGGGGGGGGTGAGGTGTTTACATTTTTCCATTTCAGGGGAGGTTTCTGCCTTCCTTAGCAGACACCTGTCTTTTCAAACCACAACAAAGCTCTAGATAATTTTTTTTTAAAAAAAAAAGTAGAAAAAAAGTTCCCATATAATCATTAATGAATGATGTTGGTAGCTAGATAATAAGGACTATGCGATGTAGATGTAGAAAGTAACAAAAGTATAGACTTCTTTTTTAATGGGAAATGAAAAGCCTGGGATTATATGCTGCTTGCTGCTGAACAAGTAGTTATTGCACAGTTTCACAGGATTATCTTCTTTAAAATGGTCTCACTAAGTGAAAGAGGTAGCTTTTCCTCCAATAAACTTACAGTAGTGAGGGAATTAATTTTGTCTGAATTTGAATAATCAGTTACAGGAGAGGAGACACGGAGACTGGACACCAGGCACATCGTGCCCCTGACAGGTGATGAAGACAGATGGACAGCATGCCCTTTTGGAAACTACAGTTTCTCTTCATTGTCTACAGGGAAGTGGAGATGAAAGGCACAGACTATATACAAGCTTCTAGATAATTAAAGTTCATGAGATTAATCCTATGTTGAATGCCATTAAACAGCAGAAATTATGATTGCTGGAAATTATTTTTTACTTTAAAATATTTTTTTTTATATATTATGCTATCTGAAGGTCCTTAGTAGCAAAAATATGAAAAAATTAAGCAAAACAAAAGCAAAAACTGTGTTAAAAAGAAATGGTAGCTCAAATACTACCATGCTAGTATTTGACTTGTAGACACTGTGAATTGTTTTGACCCCTTATATTTTAAAATTGGGAATACTGACTTTAGTGGCCCCACAACAGTTAATGCCAAATAAAACATTTTCAAATAACTCTTCCAGATTTTATCACTTGATTCTTCAGTTAATTATTCTATTTCTCTTTATATATGGAGGAAAAATATAACCTATTGCTATTACTTCTTGTCCCTCTTTTAGCCTTTTGAAAGAAAAGGCTACAAATGACTCCCTGAAAACAACTTGTAACCAAGCATAAACCCCACCAGTTTATATTGGAGAGGACATGCATGGCGAAATAAGCAACAGAACTTGTTGAATTAACAAAGAATCATTCCACTGTTGGGCAAGTGAAAAGCAAATGGAAAGTGAAACATGTAACTGTAAGCATGATAAATAATCTAACCCTTAGTGAAACCACAGTTGTTTTATTCAATGACACTCAGCCTTAAAGAGATTATTTCAAGTTTTTTGCATTATTTCCATTATTTAAGTTATAATTAGCTTATTAGGAAGTATGATATTACATATCTCATTGTTTTATGTGTATTTAATAGCACAGATACTTTTGGGTATGCCGTAGGCCACAGAATCACAAAATAATATGAGCTGAAAGGGACCCTCAAGGATCACTGAGTCCAATTCCTGGCCCTGTACAGAACCATCCCCAAGAGTCACACCATGTGCCTGAGAGCATTGTCCAAATGCTTCTTGAAGTCTCTTACGCTGGTGCTGCGACCCCTGGGGAGCCTGTTCCAGAGCTCAACCACCCTCTGGATATATATTTTCTAATATATAACATAAACCTCTCCTGACTCAGCTTCAGGCCATTCCCTCAGGTCTTGTCACTGATCACCACAGAGATCAGTGTCTGCCCCTCTTCCCCTCATGAGGAAGCTACACACTGAAATGAAGTCTCCCCTCAGTCTCCTCCAGGCTCAACAGACCAAGTGACCTCAGCTGCTCTTCATAAGCTTCCCCTTCAGACCCTTCACAGTCTTTGCTTCCCTCCTTTGCATGGTCTCTAATAACTTAACATCTTTTTTACATTGTGACTCCAAAAACTGCACACAGGACTCGAGGTGAGGTCACCTCTGTGCACGACAATCCCCTCCCTTGCCCTGCTGATGATACTGTGCCTGGTGCCTCCCAGGACATGTTTAGCCCTCCTGGCTGCCAGGGCACTGCTGGCTCATGGTCAACTTCCCCTCAACCAGGACCCCCAGTTTCCTTTCCATGGCACTGCTTTCCAGCATCTCATTCCCCAGTCTGTTCATACAACCAGAGTGCAGATTCCATCACTTCACCTTGTTGAACTTAATTTGGCTGGTAATTGTCCAGACATCTAATTTGTCAAGGTCTGAATGTCTATAATGTTCATTTGTTGTTTTTCAAGTTGCACATTTCTTATTGCTTTACACTTTGTTGCCTCTGATTAAACTTTCTTCTTTCTATTTCTACAGGTAGTTAAAAGTTTTACCTTACTAAGTACCGAAGTACTGCCTAAGGTAATTTTCCATCAATATTTGAAATGTAGAAGAGGCTGGAATCCTATATTGAGATACCTCTCACTCGATGTGCTGCTTAATACTTAATACTGCATTACTCCTGGATGATTATTTGTCCAGAGTAATGATTACTCTGGAGAAAATGCTTATTCCTTCAGCAGAGGAACCACTGGGGATGGAACTTCTCCTATACAAAAGCCATGGGGAATTTAATATAATGCAACCACAACTATTTCAGTAAGTTCTGCATGAAATACTTCAAGTGAGCCTCTTAAAGAAACAGTAGAAAAAGGTAAGATCTTCACATGGATAAATAATTGGTTAGAAGATCACACATAGAAAGAAGGAATAAATGATCAGTTTTACAGGTGGATTGAGGTGACTGGTAGAGAGACCTTCAGATAAACCATCTGAGCCTAGGATATTTTTGCCTAACACATTGACAAATTAGCTGTAAGTAGGGAGTTGAAATGTAAGTGATGTGCTCAAAAAGCAAATGTATATATTCATGAAGACAAATCAGTGAATCCATGACTGTTAACTAAAACACACAATATCCTGGACATGAATCCCTGATCAACAAATCATCACATGATGAGAAAATACTCAGAGGAAGCATGATGACTTTACTAACTATCCACAGTCTTGGATGAAATGCTGGACTACATGGGCTTTTGGAGAAATCAAAAAACCTACTAGCAGCATGAGTAAACTACTTATTTCTTTTAAAAATGGTTATGACCAAGTCTGTAAGTTAACTCTATAGAATTTCCTATTTTCCATTTCTCAGCTTTGGAAAAAACTGTCTTCAGTTGTGTTAGCTTTCAGCAGGGGCAAGAAATCACCTATTTTCTTTATCAGACTTGTCAGATAACCTAGTTTGTTCTGCAATCCCCATAACCTCTGCGTAAAGGCATCCAAATAGAATAATATTTACAAACTGGTAAATATTTATTCATCACCAGGTCCCCATTACAAATACACCTGTATGGTCAAATTCTGAGGTCATCCTCCTAACCACTGCAAGGAAGACTTGAGACCACAGAGAAAAGGATATAAAATTCTGTTGTCATATGAATGAGAGAAGGGGACTCTACAGGCAAACACTCTGAAGGCCTGGTCTTCTAGCACAGAGCAGCTCCCCTATACAGACTAAGAATACATGGAGAATAGCTTCTCATCTGTTTTTCTTTTTCTGATTCTTCAGTCTTAGAATGGCTTTCATCATCAGCTTCTCACATTTGCTTTGCTATTACAGAGCTTCACAGAGTTTGCTTTGCTCAGTAGATGCAAAAGACTGCTAGAGAAGTTCAAAGTTGTGGGCTGCCAAAGCCATAGTGCTACATCTTCTCACAATAGAGAAGCTCCTCTCTGCTGCAGTTGTTTTATATACCACAGCTCAACTGTCTCAAAGGCTGCTTCTGTCTCTTTTTTTTTTTTTTGCGTTCATCCCAGACACATTGGAGAAAGTGAGTGTAGAATTTGCTTGCAAATTGCCTGATTGATCTCTCTTTCAACACAACTTCTCCACTTAGCTGTGGAATGTCTTGGGACTGATATCTAGAAAGGTTAGCAATTTACATCACATGCCTGGGGGCTGGTAGTTGGGCTCTGAATCATACAACTAAAATTTGGAATTTGTTTCTGCAGTCTCATTAAAAATAGTACCTAAAAACTCATCTACTTTTCATATCAATATTTACACATTTGTAATTAATACCTCAGCATCACAGTAAAACTTGTAAATGCAAGGTCTGGGAGAACACACACCGCTTCCTTAAGAAATTTATGCTGCACTATATCTGTTTCAAGATTTGTCCCTGAGTTCAGTTTGACTTTCCCTGACAACTTCAGCAGAGTCAGCATTTTAGTCTAATAGTGAACTTTCCTGAACAAAATAAAATTGGAAAGCCATCAGACAGTTTCTATCTGCCTCCTGGAACTACTGTACATTTCAGAGCACTTTCTTGACTGTAATCCAGATTTCTAACTTGATGGCATTCAGTTTCAGATTTTGTCTGTGTTCATTTCAGGTGTGTCTCTATGCGCCATAGTATGTCTCTCTCTGCCTGCTTTTCTTTGCATTGGAAAAATCAATGGGCAGATAAAATTGTTTATCTCAAATCTTCCTTCCCCTTCACTTTTCCACAGGCTTGCAGAAAAAGCTAGCTGAACATTTCTGATTGATGTCTGAGGTCTAATTTTCATATGAAAATGAAAAAACCAGCAAATGAGAAATAAGAGTGAAAATTACATGGTATGGGCAAGAAAAAAGAAGGAAAATGATATAGTTTATTTCTTATCCCTTGTGGTTTCTTGGGTTCCTTACAGTTCTTTTATATGGCTGTAGTAAGCAAGAAGTGATTTAAAATGCAAAGTTTGAAGACAGAAAGCAGGAACCAGAACTACTGTCAGAATTTATGACACTTAGAGACTTTTTAGTGACAATAACATGTATAAAGTCTTGCTAACTGTGCAGTAACTGCACTACATCATAGCAGAATGGAACTAGGAGTTTATTTACATTTCTCTATCATGTTCTAAGAAATGTCTCCATCTATGAGCATGTAGCATGAGATACCATCAAATTTTATTCTATTTATTTCTCTATGAAAGTCACTGAAACTAGCTTCAAACATATTGTTTATTGTTAATTATCCTTACAAGCACTGGGCAGGTATTCATGCTTTCCACAATTTTTATCAGAAAATTCTGAAACTATCAAGCTAATTGTACTTCATGTTATAAGGAGTGAATTTCCATTTTGGTCCTGCAATCACTACAAAATTATCAGACTCAAATTTGTGTGTAAGACACTAATATAAAATAAGAGGATAATGTGGTACTTTGACCAATATGTGATGGCAGTCTTCAAGAACTTCTGTTCTCTGATCAACTAGACACTGGAACAGGTCTCTAAATGTGTTGTACTGCAACTTGTCAGGAAATACTAATATACACAGAAATATCCAGGGGATTTCCTGACTTTGGAGTGATTTGGGTTTCTTGGTTTGCATTAAAATCGGTGTTCATTAGAACTATGGTAAATAGCTTCACATTTTACATAAATAGATTGAAAAAAACCAAACACATTAATTACCTTCAAAGTTGGTTTTGGGTTTTTTAGCATTAGAATTCTCATTAGAATTCTCATTAGAATTTGCTGACTGGTACCTCTTTGCTACAGCAGGAACAATGAATCATGCAAACACTCTATTGAAGTAGTTATATTCTGTTCAAATATCCAGGACAAATGTATTTTATAAGATTGTTCCTGTAGGACCCTGGGGGATGGAATTCAGAAACTCATTTTATTTATTTGTTAAGCACCTCCTAAATTTCTTCAATGATTAAAAAAAATAGTTTACTTTACCTCTGAGTCATACCTTGGACTTCCACCTTCTGTCCTGGCTGTTTTCCTCCAGGAGGTCTCCCATGGTCAGGCTGCACTCTCTCACCTGCGATGGGGATGCTGGTGAGGTTTCCTCTCACTGTAATCTGCCAGGGATTCAATAGTTTTTCCAACACTGGGCTGCTGTTCAGCACCTGCTGCTGGACTCAGAAAACCTGAGAAGGGATATATTAAAGGCACAATATCCTGGAGTGGAAATAAAGGGTAATTTTCCCCTACTGGAGGGGTGAATAGATAGAATTTAAGGAAATAATTACTGTTTTCTCTTCAAAGCTGGCAAAACCATGATTACTCTCAAGGCTCCTCATAAAAGCCATACACATCTTCTTCAACAGACTTGGATATCGTTGGTAAACTGGTTCAACTGACAAGGTAGTTGACTTTTAAAAAGCACTTGTCTGCCTTTCAGGTCCATCAGAAAATAGTCATTCTCTTCTATTGTCCTTGTGTGGCAGTAAACTTAAAAGATGCAATTTGCTCCTGTTTCTCCAAGATTCTGAAGTCCCAGTCTATAAATCACAGTAAGAGTAGAGGTAATGCTCCAGAAAAAGCAGTGCATAGAAGAGCATGGCAGTGTTTAAGTACTGAATTCTTTCCTGAAAAGAGATTTATCAAGTATGGCCATTGCATACTCAATTTTTTTCTGTTGCTTAGTAATAAGGGAGAGCACCTCTTAATAAAATTTCTCCTGGTGCGAAACTTGGTTCATGCCTACCGCTGTAACGCAGCCCTTCAAGAGGACACACATAGCAAGTTGTAGTGAGAGCTATTTTAGTAGTAGTAGTGAGAATATTTTATATGCAGTGTGGGCACTGTATGGCTAAGCCAACACACTGAAAACACAGAACTCTGTCTGATAACATAACTCTATCATAACTCTACATTTACCTGAATGAAAAAAAACTTCCAAAATTTAGCTTCTACAGTAACAAGCCTTTAAAATGCCATATTGGTGTCTATATTTACTGACTCTCAGTAATTTCCATATCAAATATAATGTTTCACACTAGTAACTACATTCAGTGGTGCAGATTGACTTTCTCCTCTCTAACTTCTTGCCTTCTCCTGGAAAGATTTAGAAAGAGATGACGGGAGAGGTAAAGACATGGAACCCAGGTAAGGCACAGGATGGAAGACATCACAAGGATGACCCTTGTTTTGTTGCATTCATCTTGTAGAATGAAATGCAATTTAAACTGTCTTGGATTTTATTGACAGGGATTCTATCCTGTTTATCCTGGTAAGTAAATTTGCCAGGGAAGGCTGAGTGTCTACTGTCAACATTCTGAAGTGATCCATGCCTAAAGAAGCACATGGATGAATTGGTTTAGTGTCCAGGCTAGTCCTCTCTGCTACATCTGCCTTTTACTTTGCTTCAGGATTTCTGTGGATCATTCTTGATTCTTTGAAAAAACAACTGCTTTAATTCTCTGGAAAAGTAACAATATACCAAATCTTCCATCAAAACTTTATTTTTCTGGCAGAAAATTTATTTGCTTCCCAGAGAATTCCTTGTGTCTCACCCCTCTTCTCCTTCCCTCCATCTTTCAGAAAATCCCTTTTCTACAGCAGCACAGATTCTAAATACTCGAATGCCACAGGAGCATGCAAATGCCCTCGGATTCCAGACGCTTTGTCTTTCTCTAGTAGTGCAGTGAAGACGGATGCAGCAGCAGAGCTATGGATGCCCACGACAGTGTTTGGTTTAGTCCTTTAGGTCCTTGGCTCTGCAGCCAGAACTTCAGCGGTTTTTATCTTTTTAAGGAAGAGCTGCAGTGAGCACGATGCCGGTTCCCCGTGTCTCTGGCCGGGCACAGTCCGCGCTGCCGCAAGCCTGGCTGCTTCAGAGGAGCTGTCCCTGGAGCGGGGATGGGCTGGGATTAGTTAACCAAACACACCGACAGGACGATTTCGGATGGCACCGCGGCGGCAGCAGCAGCAGATGTTTCCCCAGGGTTTGAGGATGTGAAAGCCTACTCCCCTCCCCTCCCTTCCCTGCTTTCCCCAGAGGTGCAAGCGCTGAGCTGGGCGCTGCGGCCGGGAAAGCCCCACGACCGCCTCTGCTCGGGCAGCTCCAGGGCAGAGAAGGACGATGTGCCCAGAGGTACCTGGCGGGGGCACCCTCTCCTCCTCCTCCTCCTCTTCCTCCTGCCCACCCTCCTTCGGGCAACACACGCAACCTGTTCCAATGCCTGACAGCCCCTTTCAGTGAAGAGATTTTTCTTATCATCCAGTCTAAACCTCCCCTGGTGCAGCTTGAGGCCATTTCCTCTGGTCCTGTTGCTGGTTACTTGGAAGCATCCTCTTCGCAGCCTGGTAGTTTTGTGTTGCCGTCTGGGACATGCTGTTCCATAATGTAGGAGCTTTCCCCTGTGCGTTTTGTTTTACACCTGCCAGCGCCTTACCCATCTACACTCACCCAGTGGAACTGAAATTCCTTTCCATCTATGAATTTGCAGATGGATGCAGGAAAGCTAAAGGATTATCTAATTTGATTTTTTCCTCCCACAAAAATGAGCAGAGGGTACTGGAGAGAGGGGTGTTTCACCTTCCCATATGCCAAAAAAGTTGAATGCCAGGGTAGGGATAGTGAGGTTTCGAAATTTGAACATAGTAAATTGTTTCAGCTTTCTGAGAGTATTAAACTAGGTTATTTAATTGCTGTACATACATGCTGGATCTTCTTATTCTATGGTCTGGTTGTGATCAAAGATGAAATTCAAAGTTCTACTCTGACAAAAAAGGGAAACCCATATGCAGTATTTTAGTACATAGTCACTAAAATATCAGCGTATTTCTTTGGTTTGAGTAGGCATAATAGACATTGTCTGCTCGAAAAAAGACACTTCAATTTTATTGCATTGGAGTGTTATTTGTACAATCTGAGTTTCAGACTAATGTAAAGAATGTGAGACTTTTCATTTCGGTTTGTTTATTTGTTGGGTTTTTATTGTTGTTTTTGTTTGTTTTCTTGAGTTTTTTTTACTTATTAATTAATACTTATTAATACTTATTGACCTTTTTGGTACTATATTTTACCCTAACTAATTAATGAAACTTTTTAGTTTAATTACAATGTGGAGCATATTTCTTGAAGTGTCTTAATTACATTTGAGTTTTCTGAATCATCTGAAAGAAGTTTCCAGCTCACTAAAAAGATACTGCATTTTTAACTTTGGTGTGCTATATGATACAGAAGTTTCTTTTTGAACTTAGAAAACACGAGTAGTGTAGTTGTCAGAAATAAAATATAAAGATTCACTTGCAAAACATAATATAGTTTGTATCTTGCAGACTTTTTGTCTAAATGGTTGCACTTAAATGGGATAGACTAGAAACTGAAATTATTTCTCCTGTATGACTTTAAAATTATGAGTAATAGAAATGGTAATATTTCTGCACAGTACTTACCATGAATAGGCAGTTTAGAAATGCCACCTGTTGTCGCCTTGAAAATTAAACCTTCTGATCTTGTTTTCATAGTTTCGAGCCACTTTCCCAGGAAAGTAACTATAAACATAGATGTGTATACATTCTTTCTAAGAAATGTCTTTTGATGGACGGTTCTCACAACCAGTGAGATTGGGAAGGTGGTAACCTGACTATCCAATCCCTGGTCATTGTCAAGAATCTATAAATACTGGAGTCACGAAATAAAATCATCCTTTTCCTTATCATACATTGAACTGTGTCCATGTGAATCATTCTGTGTCCTACAGCGACAACCTGTCATTAAAATACTTGGATTTAGAAAACCATTTGACTATTAGCATGATTGAGAAAAATAATTTAAGTAAAAAGAGTTGCTATTTATATAATCTTTTGGTACAGAAATCTCTTTACAAAAACTGTCTCAAAATATAATTACTTTTAAAAAATGTTTAGCAGTTGCCATGATTTAAATATTTTCCTATCTCTTTATAGAATTTTCATTTCTAAATAAATTAATTGAAACTATACCAATTAAACATTATAATAATACAGCAATGTATTAATTAATAATTTAAGGCTCATTCTAAACTGCTCATGACCAATACAAGATTCAGACTTAATTTAATTTTCTGATAAATTAATGTGAAGAAACTTGATTTTGCAACACTAATGCTGATTTTAAGGCTGAAAGATTCAGGAAAAAAATATTTTATGAAATAGTAGGATGTACCTGATGTGAAACTTTAAGGGAGTGAATGGCATTTCCTTTGAACTCAGTGGGCATAGGAATATTGTTAATTTGATCTAATATATCCTGGTTCCTCCTTTGGACAAGAAGTGGGAAGAGACCTCTCTTTACCTGAGTCTATTGTATCTTCCTCCTCAGGCTGGAGCAGGAAGGTTTGTTTTCCTATGTGGGAACAATCCACCTACTAATTCTCATCTTGAACCGAGACACTTTTCCAATAGGCAAAACCCCTTATTGTATTTACAAGAGCTCAGTTTCTCTGTGCTTAAGTAGTATCTGCACTGCTGCCCAAGTGGATTTTAAATGCACTGAACAGGATGTAAATATATTACACTTGAATTTAACTCATTGCAGGCTCTTTTGCCCTGTTTATGTAAAGCTGTTGAATTAGCTCAGTCTGATTTTAAAGCTGAGCAAGGAATCCTCAAACAACAGATAATTTATATGTCAAATGCACCTTCTGAGGGCATGGTCATATAAAATGGGAAGGTTTAAACTACCCAGGACTTGGGAGTGAATTCTCTATGTGTCTCTAAGTTCCCAGACTTCTATGTGTCTGATAGTGATGTAAACTATTTTTCTTCATTTGTGTTCTTCTGCAAAAGGAACTTTGCATAATGTTAATACTTTGTATAATGCCTATAAAAAATACAAGCCAGTGGGGAATCAGACGCTATGTATTTCTAGTGTATTTGGATGATTAAAAAACTAAATTAGGGAGTTAATGCAGAAATTAATTTATTTTTTCTCAGAAAGTACTGAAACAAAGGATTTTTCTCACTGCTTGTTAAGGATGGAGATGGAATAATATATTTAATTACTTTAAAATGTGATTAAAGCAGTTCCCTCGTACTTCATTTTGTGTGGCTCTTTCTGTGTGACTTACTGACTTCTTGATACTTTTTTTTTTTCCTATAAAATGTGTGTCTTTAACCTGGTCACACACACTCTTTAAATAGAGAGAAGGAATGGGAAAATTGTTTACACTTGACACTGCTGCAGAATATATTATTTCAATTCCAAAGGATTTCCAGAAAGAAATCTAAAAAAAGGTTTTGAAAACATTTTGAAAGACTGTCTCAAATGTGAGGAAAGGAGTGTTTGAGAGTTGTAGTTCATCTGTGGACAGGAAGATTTGAGGAGTGAAATGGCTGATAAGCAAGTGAAATGTATATGCACATGAAAGACCATTTAAAGTGACTTTCTCACAATAGAGCATGCAATGCCATTCAAGATACTAAGAAAGTAAAATCCAGAAATACAGTATCTTCCTTTGGTAACTGTATTGCTCTCACTTTTTCTAGTTCTTTTTAAATAAACAGTTCAAGAGCTCCATCTTCGGGTTCAAGGTGTTATTGTAAAAAAAAATATTTCTTTTTGCATTAAGTAGTACCTAAACCTCCTACAAGTTATGTAATATACATCTTCACATACCTTGTCAGTTTGCCGTGCTTAACATTTCTAGACACATTTGTTCCATTGCATTTTGATAAATTTTTAATACTCTCTTTTTAATATCATTATTTTCAGTTTTTTCTTTCATTAACTTACTCAGTTTTGCTGGATAATAGTTTTCCCTTTCAATTATGATACATAAATCAGCTTGACAGTTCATAAAATATTTATGGACCATGACAGAAAATAATGGCAGATGGAATTTTAAAACAGGCTGTTTTTCAGGTAGGCTTTATTATGTTTTAGAAATTAGTATGCTTTTATTAAAATGAGAACATATGCTGGCTGATTTTTGTCAATGGGGAATCTTTTCACATTCTTTTGGGAGCAGAATTTTAATGAAACATTAATTTTTTTTCTGCCAGTGCAGCAAAGTTCTAAAACACTTAAATATTACAGTGAAAAAAAAAATAATCTATTTTATTTTTCAATAAAAAGCCTTTAATTATTTCAGAAAGTCTTTGGGGAAAAT